GGTGAGGATCCATGCGAAGAGCTGTGGAACCAACCTATGAAAATGAAAAAGAATCTTTAAGTATGTAAAACTCTATCATATGGAACAAACCTTGAGCATGTTGACAGTGTTAAGTCCCGTTGGACGAGCCTTTAGCTCCTCCCTTTGTGAAACATCGAGGACTTTTAGAGAACCGCTCTTGAGCGCCTTCTGAGGAAAGATGTCTAGAGAAGCACGCAAAACTTCATACCAGAAGATGTGAAGGTGAGAAAAAAGCTTTCCAAAAAACTTACTGCCTGCTCAAAGACACTCCCACGCTCCCAGCCCACCTGCAGCGAGTGCCCACCTTTGCTCAAGCGCGGATACAAAGTCCAGAATGGCTTCGGAACGAGTGTGATGATCTGAGTGTGCTGCTCCACGCAAAAAAAAAGAAGAAGAGTTGCAGTCTGGCAACGTCCAAAACTGTCGTGAAACAATGAGAAAGCAACACCAGCCTACGAGATGACGCTCGAGTCCAGGTTGCCATATTTTCCTTGAAAGAAACGAGTCTGGAAGCGAGTGCCTCGTTTTTTAATGCAGGAGCTCCAAAAAGATCCAATGGATCTGTTTGCTCCCAGTTCTGATACTTTGGAGGAAAATCAATGCTGGAAAATCCAGAAAGATAGTAAAAAGAAGAACAAAGAATGCGAAGAACGACGGTTTCTCACCCATAGACATGACCAGTGACAGAAGTAACCTTTAATCGGCATCTTGAAGACTGACAACTCGTGAACATAATCCCCGGCCTGGGAGGAGAGTGTTCCAAGCCACAAAAGAAGAAAATAGGAGATTCAATAATGGAATGAGAGAGCGAAAACCTTGGGAGGCAAAAACTTAACGACCAGAAGAGAGAAACGAAGCCAGCATTTCAGCAATGTTGGGCTTCTCCGCCACCTACAAGACAAGAGCCCATCTCCCAATCGAGAGACAGAACGGACAAGAGGACGACGGGCGCCATCGCTTGCTACCATAAACCCTAGCTATGTTTCTTATACTCGAGTGAGTTCTTCCACGAAACTCGTGAGCTCTTCCACCACTTCTCTCATCTTGTTAAAAACCATTTGTATATTGTTTTTAATAATTTACAAGAACATTGCTAGAACACTTGCAGTGCAAGGGACCTCTCGGCTGGGAGCAGCGCTTGCAGATTTCTATCGAGACTGCAGAGGCGCTGGCGTACCTCCACTCGGTGATGCAAGACTCGTGATTTCCAGCTACTCATGCATTTTAGCAATAGGAACTAAACATTTCTTATCAGCGTCCTATCAAATGATTGCAAGATTTAGGGGAAGTAAGGAGGTGGGCAATGTGGCAAAAAAATGTATTATAATGCAACATATATCAATTTAAAACATATGTGTGTTTAAACACGATGCCACTTTTTTCAAGGCATATATTGGAATGCATTAATTCTTAATCCACATTAATTTATTTACTTTTTCTTTTGCTTTTAAGTTTGGCAAGAATGGCAGGAATGGATGGCAAGATGATTGATCTATCAACTTGATTAAAAGGTGTAACTAAACCAAGCAACCAAAAGAGCCTTGGCCATGAGCTCTACACACTGGCCATTGTATCTTCAACCGCTACATGCACCTGGGTGTCAATGAGTCTAGGTAATCTCTACCTTAGAACATTCAAGAATTGCAAATGCCACACACCTTCACCAAGAATGAGGGTTTGATTAAGAGGAGTAGAATCCCACAGTAGACACTATAAGACATCAGTATCAGATTGATAGAGATTGCAACACTGGATGAGCTGAAGCACACAATCCTGCTGCTAGGCAGTGTACTTGATGCAATCGAGCCAGTAGTGTAGGATAAGCTCAAGTAGCAGAGCGCCATGGCCACAATCTAGACAAATCAGGACAGATATAGTGGCCTTCTATTTCATGGTGGCCAAGACATTCTTTATGATCACAAAGGCTGCCATTCATTCATTCATTCATTCAATGTTGCACCCAAGGACTTATTTCAAGTGATGTCTTCTGTAAATGTAAGGAAGTGTGGATTTCATTTTTGGCTGTGGAAGATCCTTCTACAAAGTAAATAAATATCAAAAGATTAAAAAAATATTTATATTTATTTATATATAAGATCACAAGATATATTCTTTCAACATAATAAAATTTTTATCACCCACCAAGAGGTGTACCCTCCAAAAACTACAGCCACATATATTTTGCCATAGCAATTAAAAATAAAAATATATATCTGCACCCATGTGCAATAATTCACTCCAATCTGCATTTGAAACTTAAAATAATCTACTTAATCCCTATTCTATTAATGGTTTTCATGTTAAATTAATATTACAAGGTTTGACAATTAAAATTCTAGAGAATAGATTTCAAATAAAAACTCCTATTTACTACCCTTTTATTTTATCAACTCAAAGTTTTGTTTCTTGATTTTACCAATTGCAATCTTATATTATTGAAGTTGTGGCATAATTTATCAATTATGAATGTCACTCTTTAGAGGTATGAGTTTATAAAAGGTCTAGCTCTTTCATTGATTATATTTTAATCCAATCCTATAGCAATAATATGTTTAAAAGAAGGTAATGAGTTTCTAAAATAGCTTTCAATTTTTTTTGTGAAAGAATATCTAAGTGATTGTTTACTAAAGATACTAAGATTTGAAGGGCTATTCTGTAGAGACTAGAGTTGCTATGGCCTTAACATAGTTAGAAATAAGAACATTATTGAAAAAATAGAAAACAAGTGTGTGTTATTGCATAACAAGCTAGTTTATAATTGTTTAAAGTAATTGATATTAAGTTTAGCAAGATTTGTATTAATAATCACATGCAATCACTTTCAAAGGAAATTAAAGAGCTTAGAGGAATACCATATGTAAGATGATACAATTATAAATGATTATTTTAACAAGAAAGGGTTATTTTATAATATATCATTGGTTTAAGACTTATACAAGGACACCTTAACAAATATATGCTAATAAAAGATGTAACTTATCCATCACACCCATATATGTTTAATCTATATAAAGGATTGAAAGATGGGTTAAAAATATGCCAACAAAATTAGAACTACATTCAATTAAACATAAGAAGAAAGAGATTTTAGCATGTTAAAATCAAGTAATTTTTTTATATTATTAACTAAAAATGAGTTTTGTTAGATTTTTAATTCTTTTGAAATAAAATGATGATAATATCAAAGATCACATCACTATATATTATATCTTATGTAAAACTCATGGTGGTGGCTTTGATCTTTTATGGATTGATCAAATAAAAAAGGAGTTAATGAGATTGACAATATGAAAAAAAGGCATTGTAATGCATTCAATCATTTAAGTAAAAGTTCTAGAAAATCAATGGTGTAACAATATATAAATTACATTGTATCAAAACAATAAATCCAGACATTGGAAACAAATTATAACATGCACTAAATAAATTTTGATCAGTTTAAAGCTAGTAAAGAAGTATAGAGAAATGTTGAATGTTGTGATGCTCAAGCACAAACATTATTTAAAATTCATGATCAATTTTTAGGAAGGATTGATTTTTCAAAGGATGAAAATTAAATTAACTTTTAGTACATTAAAAAGGTAAATAAAATATTTGAAAGCATGTTCACTATAGTATTAAAGGGGCTTGTATAACTTTCATAATTTAAAAATGTTATTCTATCTTTTTTTTTATGCTTTTGATAATCTCAATCGATGAATCCTTCTTATCATTTTCAATCTTCACTTTTTTGTATTAAGTACTTAGTCTTTTAGTGTTATTCAACCTTGTGTCATCAATAACAACTCTATATCTACCATTGTCAATGGCTTTTTAATAAAGCTAATATGAATAGTTTCTTCATTTAAAATTTCTTTGAGAAAAGTTCATTTATGGCATCATAAAACTTGCATTTTTCATACATATAATATTTTATAAAGAATAATAAATATATACATGTTTTATATATAAATTAGATATTTAAAAGGAAAGGATTTACCTATTATTTCCAAAATTTTATTGTGAATTTTATTCTCCATATAATCATTCCACATTTTTCTTATGTTTGTTTCCTTCAAACTATAAATTTTAGATAAACATTACAGAAATTTAGCTTAAATAGACTTTTAAAATTTATTTTAATTTTAAATTTAATTATAACACTAAATGATTATTCCATTTAGCTCATTTCCTTTCTTCATCCTTTATTTTTTCTTTTTTTATCTCCTTTTACACTATTTTTCTTTTCTTTCCTTGTTTATTTTTTTTAATTAATTAATTAATTCTATCCCATCCAAACTCCAAGATATTCAACTTTAAAGCATTCGCTTTAAAGTTGAATATCTTGGAGTTGGATTGGATAGAATTTATTTATTTAAAATTTAAAATTTTAAAAATAAATAAATTAAAGTTTTAAAATTTGAATGCTATAGTTTATGGTGGCATGAAAAGAGCACCTGATAAAATTTTAAAAGAGGCATTTGACAAAAAGAAAATAATGAGATATGAAAGGATTAAGCATTTAAGAAAATAATGTTTGATTAAATGAAAATTTTATTTAAAATGAGTTTAAAATAGAAAATGAAATATACTTTATAGTGGGCATTTTATATAACATCTTGATTATTTTGAAATTTCCTTGTTATTTTTCTACTGAAGCTATAAAAATCATAAATACTCTTAAATTTATGTAGGGCAAAATAAAATGCTTTAAAAAAAAGGCACTCTAAGATTTCCCTCCCACTTTTTTAAATTTAAAAGTTAAAAAACCCAAAATGCTTGAGCCATTACCTTTTGGGTTATAGTGGAATAAAGATTATTTCATCTAAACAAGCCAAAAAAGTAATATAACCATAATTATTAAAAAAATTATAATGTGCTGAGGTTCAACACACACATGACACCGTGCCTCTCACGGCTCAAAGTCATCTACATTCTCAGAAAACGGGAAGAGCATGAATCTCTTGCTGCTCACTATAGTGCTCTCACACCAGGGAATTATGGCAATAATTGGTAGCGCTGCGAAAGAATGTGCAAGCTCCTGCGGAATTCAAGATGTGCACTATCCCTTTGGATTGCAATTTGGATGCGGAGATCCCTCTCACTTGCTCAAGTGCACTGGCAACGCTCTCGTGCTAACTCTCAACAATGGCGCTGATTATCCCCTCACCATTCTCTACCCCGATAGAAAGCTCGAGATAAGGAGCCCCATCTCCATCAGAAATCTCCTCCCGGGCATCTATTTCAACAATTTCTCAGAGTCGTGCAGCCCAAACTTCGTTCCGGATCGCCGGTGCACAACAGAGGTGTCTTGGTACGTAGATTCTAGGCGTGCATTCAAGTGTGCGGAGTGTGTGAAGTCGGGAGGGACTTGCGGCTACACGGGCTACAATTCAACTTTCTTTCTATGCATCACAGATGATGAAGGTGAATTCATCTCAATTTCATGATTCAAGTTCTATATGGTCTCTTTGTTATGTTTCTAGATGTGATTACTTCTCAGTCTCCAACGTCCCTGCCCCTGACCCGGCATTCACAGAGAAAGATCGCTGTAATATCAGGTATTAAAACTTTTAATCCAGGTTATGTTCTAATCGATTATGTGTAGCTTCTGCTGTATGCTCCTTGCTGATCTTCGGCTGCTGCTGTACGTACGTCTACAGGTTCAGACTGCACGAAAACCGACAGCAACGCTCCCATCTCGCACAAAGGCTGAACGATTTCGAGGCAAGGCACATTTACTCCTACAAGGACTTGCACGTTGCAACCCAAGGGTTCAACGAGGAGTTCAAGCTGGGAAGCGGTGGATTCGGCACGGTTTACAAGGGCATCTTGCAAGACGGCACCGTGGTTGCCATCAAACGCAGCAAAAGCTCCGCCAACTTTGGAGTCATGGACGAGCAGTTCCTCAACGAGATCACCATTCTCTCCCAGGTGAACCATAGGAACCTGGTAAAGCTCAAAGGCTGGTGCATGGATACTCGCCGAAACGCCCCTCCACTGCTCGTGTACGAATACGTCACCAATGGAACGCTGCTGGAACACTTGCAGTGCAAGCGAGGGGTGGTTCCTCTCGGCTGGGAGCAGCGCCTGCAGATTGCTATCGAGACCGCGGAGGCGCTGGCGTACCTCCACTCGGTGGCGGCACCGCCGATCTACCACCGCGACGTGAAATCGTCCAACATTCTCCTGGATGATAGCCTGAGTGCCAAGGTCGCCGACTTTGCCGCCACCACGCACGTCTCCACGCTCCGGATCCAAGGCACTCCAGGCTACTGCGATCCGGAGCTCATGACCACTTTCAGGCTCACGGACAAGAGCGACGTCTACAGCTTTGGAGTGGTGCTGCTGGAGCTCGTGACGGGGCAAAAGCCGCTGGATTTTGGGAGGGAATCGAGCAGGGTGAACTTGGCCTTCTACTCGCTGCCGCTGATAAGGATGGAGATGATTGAGGAGCTCGTGGATCCCAAGATGGGAGTGGTGAGCGCGGTGGAGCGCTGCAGCGTCGCGAGGGTGGCCGCCTTGGCGGACAAGTGCTTGGCCGAGTGTGGAGCGAATAGACCCAAGATGAGAGAAGTGGTGGAAGAGCTCACGAGCATAAGAGAGGAGATGAGGAGTTTTTTAGACTCGGGAGAAGTGACCTCGCGAGTATAAACGTTTTTTAGACCGCCTTGGAAGTCTAGGTAGGGTTTAAGCAAGCGATGGCGCCCGTCGTCCTCATGGTATGTGAAAGAACCGTTCTGTCTCTCGATTGGGTGATGGGCTCTTGTTTTGTAGGTGGCGGAGAAGCCCAGCATTGCCGGAATGCTGGCTTCGTTTCTCTCTTCTGGTCGTGTAAGTTTTTGTCTCTCAAAGTTTTCGCTCTCTCATTCCATGCTTGAATCTTTTCCTATTTTCTTCAGATGAGCACTAGGAAATCCTACTTGGATGTTCACGAGTTTGATGGAACGTTTAGAGGTTTCCAAGCGCACTACAAGGTTACTTCTGTCATTGGTCATGTCTATGGGTGAGAAACCGTCGTTCTTCGTTTTCTTTGTTCTTCTTTTCACTAGCTTTCTGGATTTTCCAGCATTGATTTTCCTCCAAAGTATCAGAACTGGGAGCTGACGGATCCATTGGATCTTTTCGGAGCTCCTACGTTGAAAAACGAAGCAAATCCCAAGGTAACCTCACTCGGCAATGAACTTATTCTTACTGTGTGATCTTCCTGTTCTTTTTTTCTCCTTTGGTCTGCTTTTCAGGCTCACGTTTGCAAGCATCTCAGGCAAGAAGCTCGCGGCTGCGACTCCCTTGTCTTGTGGCTCGACTGCGACCGAGAAGGAGAAAACATCTGCTTTGAAGGTTCTTATTACTGGTTTTCTCTTTTTCTTTCTAGAGACATCTTTGTTTTTTTTCTAGTTATGGAGAATGTTTTGCCTGTCATGAAGAAACGATCCGGACAGCAAGTGTTCAGAGCTCGCTTCTCCGCTGTGAGCGAGAAGGATGTAAAGACTGCCATGAGCAGCCTGGTTGAGCCAAACCAAAACGAGGCGCTTGCGGTAGATGCTCGGCAGGAGATCGATTTAAAAGTTGGAGTGGCATTCACTCGCTTCCAGACTCGTTTCTTTCAAGGAAAATACGGCAACCTGGACTCGAGCGTCATCTCGTAAGTTGGTCTTCTCGTGTTGTGTTTTCTCATTGCTTCACAACAGTTTTGGACCTTGCCAGACTCCAACTCTTGGTTTTTGCGTGGAGCGGCACACTCAGATCATCACTTTCGTTCCGAAGCCATTCTGGACTTTGCATCCGCGCTTGAGCAAAGGTGGACACTCGCTGCAACTGGACTGGGAGCGCGGGAGAGTCTTCGAACAGGCAGTAAGTTGTGCAAGGCTTCTATTTCATCTTCACAACTTCTGGTATGAAGTTTTGCGTGTTTTCTAGACAGCTCTAGTCCCTCAGAAAGCGGTGCTCAAAAGCGGTTCTCTGAAAGTCCTCGATGTTTCACAAAAAGAGGAGCGAAAGGCTCGTCCAACGGGACTTAACACTGTCAACATGCTCAAGGTTCGCTCCATATGATAGATTTCCACATACTTACCATTCTTTTTCGTTTTCTTTCGATAGGTTGCTTCGACAGCTCTTGGCATGGGTCCTCACCACGCCATGCAAATTGCGGAGCGTCTCTACGTCCAAGGATACATAAGGTTTGCCATTTCTTCTTCGCTCTTCTGTCCTCATGAATAAACTAACAGCTATCCCCGGACCGAGAGCACAGCCTACCCGGCGAGTTTTGACGTAAAGGAGTCACTGCTTCCACTGGGAAACCATCCCGTCTTTGGAGACTACGCTCGATCGTTGATAGCTGCTGGCGTTCGAGCCCCAAAGTCCGGCACCGACGCTGGCGACCATCCTCCAATCACTCCAATGCGTTCCGGGACCGAGTCCGAGCTTGGAGGAGATGCCTGGAGGCTCTACGATTACATCTCCAGGCATTTTCTTGGGAGTGTGAGCCCGGACTGCAAGTATAAGCGGTAAGCTAAGAATTTTTCATTCTCTTCTAGTTTTGCTGAGCTTGAGGAACGCAGGACGAAAGTTACCTTCTCCGGTGGAGGCGAGGTTTTCACTTGCTCGGGGAAAGTTGTGACATCGCCGGGATTCACAATAGCTATGCCGTGGATGGCTGTCACGGACGAAAATCTTCCTGCGTTTACTATTGGCGAGAGTCTTCCTTGCTCAGAGGTTGAGCTCTACCAGGTATACCATCTCAAAGCTTTTCCCATTGTTTTATTCTCGTCTTGGTCTTGTCAGGGAAGAACCTCTCCTCCTGATTACTTGACTGAGAGCGACCTGATATCTCTGATGGAGAAGCATGGGATTGGTACGGACGCGTCCATTCCAGTGCATATCAACAACATATGCCAGAGAAACTACGTACAGGTAAAAGAAGATTTCTTTCTTCTTTCTTTCTTTCTCTCTGTTTTTGAGTTGTTTAAAAATGTGTTTTTTTTTCTTCTATTTTTCTCGAAGGTACAAACTGGAAGGCGCCTTGTGCCTACTGCTCTCGGTATAACACTCATTCGAGGCTATCAAACCATCGACGCGGATTTATGCCTCCCGGACATCCGGAGCTTCATAGAGCAGCAAATCACGCTGATTGCCAAAGGTCAGGTGGATCACGAAACCGTGGTGCGCAACTCGCTGGACAAGTTCGTCGCCAAGTTCAAGAACTTCGTGTCCGAGGCAAGCACCATGTTTTCTAAGTTTCTCAACTGTTTCTCTCCATAGATCGAGAAGATGGACGCTCTGTTCGAGGCTCACTTCTCTCCTCTCGCGGACTCCGGACGGCCCTTGAGCAAGTGTGGGAAATGCAAGCGCTACATGAAATACATCACGCTGCGGCCATCTCGTCTCTACTGCTCAACCTGCGAGGAAGTATACCCGGTCCCGCAAAATGGTTCCATCAAGGTAATCCTTCTCCAGGGAATAGACACGCTAAGAAAAAACTCTTTTTTTCCTCAGCTCTACAAGGAGCTAGCTTGTCCACTTGACAACTTCGAGCTCGTCTTGTTCTCCCTCGGAGGACCCGACGGGAAATCCTATCCCCTCTGTCCCTACTGCTACAATCACCCTCTGGAATCTCCAGCAAGAGACCCGAGCAGCGAGGCCACAACCTCCAGCGATGATCAAGCCAGTGGCACTGCTCCTGGCGATGGAAATCCAAACACAAGACGGGGACGAGCAGCCACAGGGGCGGGGATGCCATGCACGATGTGTCCTCACGCGACGTGCCGCCACTCGGTGATGCAGCAGGGAGTGTGCGCTTGCCCCGAGTGCGATGGAACGCTCATCCTGGATCCCATCAGCGCGCCAAAGTGGAGGCTCGACTGCAACAAGTGTAGCTTCCTCGTCTACCTCCCCGCCAACACGCACAAGGTGTCGAGGAGCGAGCACGATTACTGCGACGACTGTGGCTCGGCGCTCCTGGAGGTGGACTTCCACAAGAACAACACGCCGCTGGAGGGCGGGAGGACGCTCCACACGGCGTGCGTGGTCTGCGACGAGCTCTTGCAGTCCCTGGTGGTGATGAAGCACGGCAAGAGCTTTGGGCGATCGCGAGGGAGGGGGAGAGGGAGGGGGAGAGGACGAGGGAGAGGGCGAGGGAGGGGTGGAGGGAGAGGTGGCGGGCGAGGAAAGCACCAAGATCCCCGGATGAGTTTCAGGGATTTCTAGCCTCGTGTTTTCCCTCCAAAACTATAAACCCTAATATTTGAACGATGAAATTGACCAGGTAATTCGACTTCGGTTCTTTTTTCTTGGCGCTAATACTGTTCTGGAGAAAAATGAGTAGCTTCTTTGTTGGCTTGTTGTGCCATTTGGAATAGAAAGAAATGGTATGGTTTCTCTTTTGGTACAGTGAAAGAAAGAATAGACTGTGTGTTTTTCTTTGTTTGTATAGGTTTTGGACACTCGCCGGCTCGCGAATGGCTCGGCGGCGCACATCACACAATGACCTGGTCTCATAAGAAGGTTTGTTGATGAAAAGCTGATCATACCCTACTTATGAGGTGATGAGATTTGCCATTTGACCTGGTCTCATGACAAAGTCAAAGTAAACACCGCGTCGTCATGTTCACACCATTGAATATCTTTTTGATAATCCAATATCAGTTGTTACTGGGGGAGAGGACGGACAATCTCAACATTCCCATCGATCCTTGCTCTTGGCGAAGAACAAGAAAAAATGACACTACCCTGATCGACACTACCAAAAGTCAAACTTCGCGGGCTTAATCATTTCAAAGCATCCACAGATACACTGGGTTTATTTAGTTTTGTGTTTCCTCCATAGATCGAGACGACGATCTCAAGCCAGAGTATGAGCAAGAAGAAGCGAACTCACTTCGTCTTGCTCACGCTGTCGAGCCAATCAAAGCTCCCGCACTTGATCTGTTCCGCGTGGGCGTGGTGGCGGTGCCAGTGTACTTGGAATAGAGTATCTCACCGCTTACCACCCGGCCCGTCTTCATCTCCTCGCCGGAGCCATCGCGCAGGTGGAAAACGTTGGACGCCTCCTCCGTCACGCGGAAGCTCTTTCGGGAATCTGCTGGACACACGAGGTCGCTCAGGTCGATGTGCAGGCCCGTGGGCACCTCGTCTCCGTTTGGCTCCAGCAGCAGGATGGCTACGCGGAAGTAAGTGCGCGATGGGATCCTGATCAACACATTCTGCGGCCTCACGCTGTTGGGCTTCACCACCCCAAACGACTGCCCGTAGATCGTCCTGAATCTGTCGCGCAGAACAAGAGGATGGCTAGTCTGGTTCTCAATCCTCACACTAGCTTTTGAGCCTGAAGCACCCATGTCTGTGCAGAGAGACAGTGAGTTCTCAGTAAAGAAGTCTGTTCCCTCTTGCAGACACGAGGTGAACACACGTCTTGTTTGAACCAGTTTTAAGTGTGCTTAAATTATCATTATTATCGTCATTTAACGCAACTAGAAGCAATGGTGATGTATGCATGACACTGTTGCTTTGGACACTTCTTCTAGGCTAGATCAGGAATGAATCAAATACGTGTTAAGAGCTTTCTAAACCAAGAAGAGATATAATGGAGACAACGAAGAATTACTGTACAAAGCACTGTTGCTGCTGCCTGAGCCTACCTTCCTACCCAAGAAAAAGGAAACCAGAACCACGAAAAACACTCAAAATGGCGCCTCTAGAGATTCATCCCACACCTCGGCACTTCCATTTGATGCATCCTCCGCGTCTTCCTCCATCGACAAGCGGATGTATTCTTGGTGAGCAAAGCGATCCCACTCTGTTAGCGTTGGATCCTCCCTCTCCTGGAAACACGGGAGTCAAGAGCCTTCCCGTGAACGAAACCATCTCAAAGTAAACTCTTACTTGTCGGATGAGGAATGGGTCGCGTGTCTCGAACGCCACGAACTTATTCAGATTGAAGAGAATGTTGAAGAAGTTGCCAGAAAGCTTGCACCTCTTCAGGTCGCGTAGCGTTAGCTGCCCTTGCTTCTGCAATGGATCACATAAGCATTGACGAGAGCCCGGAAGCTACAAACAGCTAACGCACCTCTGGGCAGATCATGTCCGTCATCTGGCAGACTATGTCCTCGAAGAGGACGGGGTCTTGAGCTAGGCACTCCATGCGATGCAATTGCTCCTCGTAAAAGTACTGCATCTCGTTTGGAGTCACCACTCCGTCACAATCCAGATCGATACATTTGAACCTGGAAGTCGCGATCTGTCAATCGATCGATCTTACAGAAGATTCAAGACGTCGCTTACCAGTACTCCAAGCTTGGTTCAGACGTTTTGTCCTCCTCCGATAAAATGAACCACACAAAGTCCTCGTAACCCATCTTTCCTTCCACGGAACTCGTAAACTTTCTTGGAACCTGACAAATACTAAAAACATAAAGCACATTAGAGGAACCGAGAACTCGAACGATCATTCTTTTGGAAAGTGCCAAACGTTACCTGTGAGAAGATCCTTTCCACTATACGAAATGTGAGAGCGTGATTGCCGTATCTCAAAAGGTCAGTCTTGTCGATTAAGAAGTCGTGGTCCGTGTCAAGCTCCCAAAACTTGCAGTAGATAACGTAAAAGTGTTCGTAGGAAAAATATCTAGTATCCCACTGTCAGCAAAAACATATTGGATATCTCGAATAGGACTTACTTTAGGACCTTGTTGATGTCTTCTTCCTCGTCTACTTGAAGCAGTGCTGCAACAAGGTTGCTTCTTCTCAACTCTCTTAGCAATAGCCTTCCATTTCCAGATCTATTTACATGGTAGAATATCCTGTACATTACTGTCTCGGCTGCGAACAAAAAGAACAAAAGCAAACAAAGAAAAAGAATGATCTGAGCGACAACAAAAACAACACTAAAAAAATCAACCAACCATATCTTTCTTGAAACTCAGGAGTGTCATGAAGAAATTCCAAACCGCGGTGAGTCATCAAAAGCTCCTTCAAGATTGGTTTGAAATCCTCCTGGAGATACGATACAATTATGCTTTCAAGGATATCGGCTGCTAAAGTTACCTGAGTAATATACTTCTTGTCAGGTTTCTTTAACACGTTGAATATACGAGAAGCCATATCTGATGTGAGCATATTCTGTTCAAGCCAATACTCGATAAACCTGTCCCTGAAATGATGAAGATGCGGGCGAGTTAGGAAAAAAGAGAAAAGGAAAAAACACCAACACGACAATGCCGTTAACCTTGTCACAAGTCCCGTGTCCTCCACATCAATCTTCTTGAACAAACAGCTAGAAAAAAAGGAAGGGAGCTTGCATACTTCCTTTGTCACAGGCGCAAAAGCTAAAGAAGACATGTACCTTAGAAAACCATATAGACAATTAAACGATAAGGACGATATGAACCTGACAATGGCAAACCATAAGAATGCCCCGCAAATAGTTGATCAATCCTTTTCAGACATTGCTCCGCCATATCTTGCGGCGCAGGAGGACCATTTGGGAAATAGAACTGCCGAAAAAAAGAGAGCTTTCATGAGTTTCTCGCGAAAAAAAAGGGAGAGAAGAACAAAGATGAAAAGAAAGAAGAAACTTACTTGAGGGATATGTTCTCTAATCGGTTCGCTAGCTCGTTTTAATGGAGAACCAGTACTCGCTCCAGTCCTTTTCATGGGAGACTTGGGTGAAAGTGGCGAGCCCGAGGTGCTTCGAGGAGACAATGGCGGTGTGCTTCCAACAGCAAACATTCCCGGAAGAGCTGACATCGCACCCCCGGAATTTCCATTCCCTGGACTGGAAGATGGAACTGGAAGCACGAGTCCTGCCTTGGCATCTTCTAGCAAAGACAGCACCTACGCAAGAAAAGTTCTTTCGTGAAATGGTTTCTAGTGGAGTGACTCACCAGTCGATGTGTATCCGGCAAAGAGAGCCACTGCGTGAAGAGATCTTCCAGCCGCATTCTACACGCGACAGGCTTTGTGGGTGGAGAGGGCAAATCCGGCAGCTGGAGCAGCTCCGGATCAAGAACACCGACGTCCACCGCCATCGCCGACTCCATTCACACACGAACCCTACCCGCGCCAAAGATCTCCACGGATCACGCGCGGCGTCGATTCAAGAGCTTCGCTAGCTGCTGGCGATCTCGCGAAGCTCTTCCTCGATCCAGAGTCGTGGCGCAGCGCCCAGGCGCTCCTGCTTCCCTGCCACAGTGTAATGCTTCTCTCAGTTTTTAGGTCAACATGAACATCAGCCACGTGGACCACTCCAGCTCGTCGATTCGTACGACGATCCTAAACCGTCGATTATAGGGCACTTGGGAGTGTTTTCCCGCTCGAAACAGAGCCCTAACTGCTCGAGCCGGATGGAGTGTCCACAGGCTCTGGTAAGCGCGCCCTGGATCGATCAATCCTCTTTGACATCCATAGTGATGGATCCTCTAGGACATCCATCGCGTCTATGGATTTTCGAGCAGTGTGATCTGTGGCGTTGTGGACATTAGGACGAACGATCGCGACTGCGTAGCTTATGCCGCTGGGAATGCGATCGTTATTCATCACTGTCCCTCGCATCGCCAGGTATTTGGATCGATTTGCCCTCTCGATTCCAGCGATTTTGCTGTGCGTGTAGACAATCTTGCAAGGACACATCCACCAGATCAAATGCTTGGCTCCAACTCCTAACAAGAGCAACATAATATCGGCAGACTGTGGCCCGGACGCCGCGATTATCATCTGGGATTCTTCCACCGGACAGGTATGGCTTTTCTTTGTGAGTTCTTTGGATAGGAATTTTTGCTTCGTAGGCTGTGAAAGCAGTAGCACAAGATATAAGTGGTGGAGTTATAGCAATTGATATTTCTCCCGATGGAGCACTCTTTGCTACCCTCAGCGACACTGGTACGATACCAACGTAGCTTAGCAATTGTCTTTTCAATTTTTTTACAAGGTGTAGCTTGCAGAATACTGTTCCAAGCAGGTGCTTTGCATTTGGGATGTTGAGATTTCTAATGGCGAGCCGCTTGCTGCCGCTGTTGTGGCCTCCAAAAAACCGCAAGTAAGTTTGTCTTGCAGCTGAGAAAACTTCTCTTACTCTTGTGTACATTCAGACTTGCGTGCGCTTCAATGGGGGTGATCAAACTGAGCTTGTCACCAATGGACAAAAGAGTGTTTACTTTTGGAGGCATGTCAAGGTTAGTAGCTAGTTTGTATTGATGGAGATAAAAAAATCCTGTGTTCTGCAGAAGGAGAATGCTAGAGGATCTTTGGAGGGGCTGAAAGCTGTTCTAAAGGCAGCGGAGTTGAAACAAGCGGTTGGATTGTTTACAGTCACAACCTTTGTACCGAATACCGCATTCGCTATAACTGCAACAACTGATGGCGATGTAGTTGTATGGGAGCAGTAAGCATCGTACCAAAAGAGCCATCTAGCTCGCTGACTGAGAGACGTTGCAGGTCTGTATATTCAGATGATTCGGAAGATCCAAAGCCAAGGACAATGCAAGCTACCAAAGTGATCAAGCTTCACAACTCGGCAATTCTAGTGATGACAACAATCAAGCAGTATGTTGCAACCGGAGGGTCAGATGGCTATTTACATTTTTATGACTCAAGAATAGGTCTCACTGGGTGGTTTGAGGAGCTAGCAGCAGGTAACTTTGTTGTTCAAACGCATCTTATTGAGTATTGCGTTCCTTACAGGCGAGGTTACTTCCCTCTCATTCTCCGCTATTGAAGAAAGTGAAGATGAAGTTGCATATAACTCGCTCAAAGTACCTCCGTTTGTTGTTGGTACAAGGAAGGCACACATTCTTCTTCTCCATGCTGGTATTTTTGAGGAACAGCCAGGGTCTGCTTCATGCAAGGTACAGTTGTTCCTGATAATTATAATGCGATCGAATTTTGGTTGTTCTATCAGGGTGAAGAGGTAACAGAATACCTGCCAGAGACTGTTCAATCTATGACTGGACATCCTTTGCTGCCTTGCTTTGCAACTATTAGCACGGATGGATTGTTTCAGGTTTGTTAGCTAGACTATACAACACTCTTGGTGTTATTTTCACGTGAAATAGGTTCACGATTATAGCACAAGAGAGCTTGTGAACGAGAGGAAGTTTTCATATCTTAAGGTAAATGTCATTTCCAAATCTCAAATAAGTCGTCCCAATCCGTCATGTAACATTTTGCAGACCATGCAATTGCCAGGCTTCAATAATCAAGTACTCCCCAACGGCTTCCTTGATTGCTTGTGGTTTCACAAATGGTATTGCTAAGGTAAGAACGCTTTTTGTAGTAGTTTCGCTGACGATCTATTTGCTGTCGCAGCTTGTTAATGCAGAAACTTTGGTAGATATACAGAGCTTCTCATTTTCGTCATCTACCCTTCACAAGGTAATAATGTGCAATCGCCGTTGCCAAAAAGTGACGCGCTGCTATTTTGACTGCAGTTCGCGTTCTCCCACGATGGAACGCTTTTGGCAGCAGCAGATGGAAGTTGTGCTGTCGCTCTGCTAAGCTGCAGACACCAGGTTCTGATAACATTAAGTAGGAGTTATAAGTTTTTGAACTCTTTTGTTTCCGCGATCAGGATGACGGAAGATGGTTATACATTGGTAAATACAGGTCTCATGCGAGGCCTATTGTTGGTTTGCAGTTTATTCTGGACCGTCGGGGTCTCAGCAGATTATTCTCTGTTGCTCAGGTACTCATATACTTTTGTTTGTTAACGCATTGATGTTTAGGCGGCCATTCACAGGATAACATGCTTGTCGAGTATGATCTAGTTCAATCAGATACGGATGTGGGACTTAATTTGAGGGGAACGTGGGAACTCGGGTCATTACTGAAGCCATCGTCATTGTTTCCATCAATAGATCCAAAGTCGGGAGAGGTATAACTGTCTCGGCTTCGAATTCGCTGGAGACATTTACATGCGTATGCTATTCAGGTGCAAGTGCTTGTCACCGACGAAGGGTTTAAGTTGCGGGTCTATGAGACTGATAACTACGTTTGCGAGAAAACATTTCTTGGTCCAAGCTTTGGAAATCCTGTGAGCCAGATGGTCAGGCTTCCTGGCGGTGAAGCTGGAAAGGTACGATGCGAGTATGTTGTATGACGTTCTCTTACCCTTCGGCTTGCAGGATTATCTTGCATATGTAACCAGAGAACAAATTCTCGGGATAACAACATTTCCAGCTGCCGATCAAATGAACTTGCACATTATGGGTGTTGTAGCCCATGCCGGTCCTATAACTTCGATGGCAATATCGCACGATTCACAATATATTATGACAGCGGGAGTCGACAGGCATGGAAAAGAATTTTTATTTTTTTTGAACTAGCACTAAATCAGTTTTCTCCTGGCAGCATTGTCATTGTTTGGAGGGTGAGCATGCCGTTGCTTGACACTGCTCTGGAAGACGAATGGAATCGTGCAGGTCCTTATCCAATGCTGCCACCAGGTGCCGAAGGCAGAATGATTCTGCAGAGCTTAAGGGAACAGTTTTTCTGCTCACAGATCCGTGCACAGGTAAATAACCACATAATAGACGTGGGCCAAATCTAAATACTTTTTTTTTTCAGGGAGAGGATTTCCTGGACGAGCGTAATCTAGATAATACAACTCCACTGGAGCAGCTTCCCGACATTTTACGTTCGGTGGGTGTTTATCCATCAAATTCATACATTCGCGACATACTTCACGAAATCGCTCTCCCCTCGTGAGTAGTGCCTGCTTTTGCTTCTCTGCATGTTTGTAACGCTCGTTTTGTCCCCGGCCAGCGAGCGAGCCAAGCAGACACCGCCAAACAGCCTCGACTTTGAGAGCTTTGTGACGCTCTACGCAAACCACAAGTCGATGATCGAGTACAATGCGTCACTCTTTCAAGTTGCTTTCAACGTAAGTGATTTTGGTACACCAGCTTCCGAAGCTTATCTACGATCTTCGCAGATCCTCGGAGCTGATCTATCGACGGGAAAGTTCTCTCGAGACACTCTGTTTACTCTCCTTCAAACGGAGGGAGAACCTCTTTCAAAGTAAGTAGTGTTGAAATTGCCTCTTCGTTTCTAGATTGGATCAAAACTTTCGTTTTGACAGGGAAGAGCTCCAAAAATGCGTGGATGTTTGCATGGGCGAGGCGATCGACCTCCAATCGCTACCAAAGGAAATCAATGGCTCAGTATTTGTTGACACGATACTGGGCCTCTAGCCTGTAAATTTTTCTCGACCCCATGCATGTCATACGAGCGTGGCACTGACACGTGTCGCGACATGAATTAAATTCAAGAAAACGAGAGAGAGATTAGGGTTTTGAGAGATGCAGCTCCGCGATTGCGCGGCGCTCGCGGATGTGTGAGCGATCGATCGATGGCTGTGCTGTCCAGGGGCAAGAGCTTGGTGGAGAATATCATGGCCGATAGCACCATGAGGAGCCTGTTTGGGGCAATCGGCAGCAAGGCGCCATCGCCCCAGGCCCAGCAAGTGAAATTGGAGCACAGTCCATCAGGTACTCGCAAATGGATCAAGGAGCTCTCGCCTCTAGCCAATGTTGTTGTGGGACGTTGTGCGAGGCAAGTGGAAGCGAAAAAAAATCTCTTTTTTTTTCAAGGCTGATCTTGGTCCTGTAGGATCCTTCTCCTCGAGATCGATGATCTCAAGCGGAGCTTCGAAGAGGAAGCTCCGCTGCCGGCAAAGACGCCTGGAAGATATGCTCGAAACTTTCTCGAGTACTGCTCCTTTCGAGCTCTGTCGGTGGCGACGCAGACCTCGGATCATCTGAGTGACAAGGAGTTCCGCCGTCTAAGTTTCGATATGATGCTCGCGTGGGAAGCTCCCGGAGCTGCGAATAAGCCCACTGTTAAGGTGAGTGTTGTCTCCAGCAGCTACACGTAAGCATAGAGAGCATCTAGATCATGAAACTGGACCAGAAGGATCAAGCATTGCGATAGCTTCGCATCAGGTACGATTCACGTAGTTTTATCAAGCTGCATCTTTTATCATGCAGTATAGGATTTCTCAGTGTAGATAGACTAGTCTAGTCTGTAGAAGCTTAGAGGGGGTGAAGTTCGTGCTAATAGCTTCACCCCCAATGGCAGAAGGATAAGGAACAAGGAATCATGGCTGGCGACAAGGATGAGGAAGACTCGGCGCTCTTTTATTCCGATCTGATGCCTATGATGGTCTTCTTTCTTCCACTCTTACACTTCAGCTTAGCATGGGAAGTTTTCCTTGGGAGAGGTAGA